CAAAAAATAAAAAAATTGCTTTGATCCTTCAAAATATTTTTTGGACAAAACTTCTCTTCTAATCCTTGAAGACATTTTAACAAAAATGCAACTTTGATCCTTAAAAAAGATCAACAATTGGTTCTTAAAAAGATCTAAATTTGATCCTTAAAAAAAGTTAACAAAAACACGCTTAAGGCTCTGATGGATGATACTTTCAAAAAAAGTCCACGTTTATCCTTGAAAATATTTTAGGGGCATTTAGGGTCCTTGTGATTCTCGCCAAAAAAAAAATTAAAAAAAAATTCACATATGGTCTTTGAAAATCAGCTGTTATAGTCATGGTGATCTTTGAGAAAAAAATTAAAAAAATCCATGTTTGATCCTTAAAAAATCTTAAACAAAAAATCACGTTTGCGACTCTGCTGTTCCACTGCTCAAATATTCTCTAGGAAATCCAGGTTGGTTGGTCCTTAAAAAAGTATTCCCTAAAAAACCAAGTTTGTTGCTCTATTGGTCTTCGAAAAAAAATATCCTTTAAGAAATCCACGTTTGAAGCGTCCTTGAAAAGATATTCTTTAAAAATCCACACTTAGAAGTTCGCTGATCCTCAAAAAAAAATAGTAAAAAACCTACATTTAGATTTCCATTCGAATTTAAAAAATATATATTTTTTTTAAATGCCTATGATTTGAGGTCATGTTTTTTTATTTTCAATCGTCTCCTTTTTGTCCAGTTCTTAAACAAAATATTCTAAACAATTATCAAACATTTTCCCAAAAATCTCAAAATTGTTGTTCACGATAATATCCGCACATTAAAGAACGTCATTAAATGTCATGTCTTATCTAAACGATGGCTATAACCCGAAAAATTGAGCTAAGAAAAATAGATTCAATGTTTTGAAATTGCCAATACGGCCGAGGAGGAATCAGAGGCAAAGTGGCAGACAGACACTCTCAGGGCAATAAAAAGATGTCACGACAAAGTGCCAATAACCCAAATGGTTAGGGTGGGGGTGTTGGCGGCGGCGGGAAGTAAGGCGAAACGAACAAAAACAATTGACACAAAAACCGACAGATACTTTGACATCGAGACAAGCAAAAAAAAAAACAATAACATAAAATCAATGCGAATTTCAAAAATAGAAAGAGGAGACAAAAAAATCGATTGAAATTGAAAATGAAAAACTAGGCAATTTTCAAAGAGGCGGTGTGGAAGTGTGGAAGGAGGCTTGAAATTCAAATTGAAAAGGTCTGGTGTTCGAAATCTCTTTGGAGGGCCATCCACTTGGTCAGACTACTAGAGCACTTAGGCACCTAGCCAGCCATCTGCTGTCACAAAGACACAAGAAATGGCCAAGAAAGACATTTTCAAGGTTAACAACTGGCAAGGCAACCTTCCAGAGACTAGGTAGGGCAATTTCACACTTTTTAGCTGAGGCTTGGGAAACAGCATCTACCCACCTGTGAGGGAAGATTTTCAAAATGATGCTTTAAAATTCATTCATTTGTTAAAAAAATACCTTTTGCATATTGAAGGAACTTGAATGTGGTCGTGGCTATTTTTTAAACCTTGATAGTCTTTTTTTTACTGTGGAGGGGTCTGTAGGACACGGCGGGGTAAGAACAAGTGAATAAATGGGCCATACTCTATTCCCTTGGATAGACATTTTCAAATTCCAAAAAAAATCCCAAATTTGTCCATTTAATGTCCATGTTAAAACCTCCAGAAAACGGCTTAGTGTTAACTGAAATCTTTTTCATTCTTTTCCATTTTTTCGACTCGAATTGAAATATGTTTATGCCGAAAACCTGGCAGCTATTAATGTTTATTGTAAATAAAAATCGGCAACATCATTCGACATCATACCAATGAGTGTGGTACTACTACTACAACAACAGCAGTAGCAATATCGTTCTGCCACACACATTTGCCGTCGCTATGAAAAAAAAATCGAGAACAGCCAACTGAAAAAAAAATCGCAAAACTCATTGAAAAAGAAATAGACTGTGTAAAAATCCAAAAAGAGGTTGGCTTCGTCGATGTGTTGTCGGTGTTGTTATTGTTTGCAAACTACGTTGCAAATCCAACAAACACAACAACAACAATAACAGCAGCAACGCCAACAGGCAAACAGCCAGGCATGGCAATCATAGAAGCCGATGTAGTAGCAGCAACAGCAGCAGCACCAGATCAACAAACATCGGTGGAAGTGTTAACAAAAACTTTGTAAACTTGGTTATTTGCATCGAACTGTGTGTGGTTTAATACTTTGCACATGCAAACACACGCACACATATAGGGGAATTTGAAAAGGACCAAACGTAAAAAAATTAAGGATAGCTTTCAAAAATTTTTGGATTTTTTAAGGATTTTTTTTTTCAAGGACCGATAGGACGTGGATTTTTAAAAAAAAATATTTTTTAAAAGATCACCAATACGTGGATTTTTAAAAAAAAATTTAAAGGATCACCAAGACGTGGATTTAAAAAAAAAAAAAATTAAAGGATCACCAAGACGTGGATTTAAAAAAAAAAAAAATTTAAAGGATCACCAAGATTTTTAAAAAAAATATTTTTTCAAGGACCAAAGAAACTTGGATTTTTTAAAAATATTTTTTCAAGGACCAAAAAAACGTGGATTTTTTAAAAAATATTTTTTCAAGGACCAAAGAAACGTAGATTTTTTAAAAAATATTTTTTCAAGGACCAAAGAAACGTAGATTTTTTAAAGAATATTTTTTTCAAAAACCAACAGGACGTGGATTTTTTAAAAAATATTTTTTCAGAAACCAACAGAACGTGGATTTTTTAAAAAATATTTTTTTTTTCAGAAACCAACAGGACGTGGATTTTTTAAAAAAATATTTTTGTTAAAAACCAACAGGACGTGGATTTTTTAAAAAATATTTTTTTCAAAAGCCAACAGGATGTGGATTTAGAATTTTAGATTTCTACTCAATCCCTTACCCAAATACGAAATTTAGTACCATGTAGTACGTATTTGCAAAATCTTAACCCTAGATACTAACAGTGATCCTAATGTCATATTTCGGATTTTATACAGATATTTTTTGGGACCAGCTGTGCACCATTAGTGTAAAAAGTCGCGATTGGTGGACTGAGGATTCTATAGAAAATTTTCCTAAAAATACAAAATTAGCTTAGTCTGATTGACGGACTGAGGATCCTTGACAGAATATTTTATATATTTTTTTCAAGAAACTTTTTTCCCCCCAAGTGTGAATTTTTCCAATATTTTTTAAGGATCATTTGTGTACCTCTAGTGCAAAAAGCCACGTTTTGCGGAACTGAGAACTCTATAGAAAATTTTCCAAAAAATCCAAAGTTTGCTAAGCTGATTGATGGACTAAGGCTCCTTGAAAGGATATTTTAAATATTTTTTAGTCGACTGATAAACCGACAGACACTTTCTAACCTAACCTTGATTTTTCCCCATTTTTAAAGGTCCTTCTGTACCCCTAACTTGAGTTTTTTTATTTTTAAACGATCATTTGTGTAACTCTAATGCAGAGAGCCACGATTGCTGAACTGAAAGAAAATGTTTCTATAAATCCAAAATTTGCCTAACTGATGGACGGACTGAGGTCCCTTGAAAGGATATTTTATATTTTTTAATGCTATGAACGACTCCATATTTTAGGAAGACCTTCACTCAGAAAATAATTTCCTAAAAACTGAGAGAAAAATTTCCGAAAAATCCAACATTTGCCTGACTGATTGACGGACCGAGGTTCCTTGAAAGGATATTTTATATTTATCCATATTTTAGGAAGACCTTCTTTCACACAATGTCCAAATGCTCCCCAAATTTGGATTTTTCTTGAGAACATTTTTAAGGAACAACTAACGTGCACTTTTTGCATGGTTTTTTACAAATATTTTTTAAAGGACCATTTGATCAAACATTTTTAAGAATATTTTTTAAGAACTTTTTTAAATTAAATTTAGTTATCTTTTTAATCTCTCCGCAAAGCATTTATTCCTTAAAAAATTATATTTTTAAAGATCTTTTTTTACAAAATTTTGTCAGGGACCAATTGTTGACATGGCTTGAATTGTTAAGAATATTTTTCAAGGTACTTCCTGTTTTTTTTTTTTTCTAAGAACCATTTGCCCACCAAATGTGTATTTTTAAGAACCCTCGATTCAAGGATCTGCTTCCCACAAATTATGAATTTTTAAGAATATATATTTTTTTTAAATTAGGGGAAATATAAGGACCATATGCCATAAAATTCTTTCAAGGACCATTCATAGATTCTTGAGATTTTTTTAAGGAACTTCTATTTACAAAAATCGGAGTTTTTATGAATTATTTTCAAGAAAGATCTAGTCTTCAAAGGTATATTTTTGATTTGTCTTTTTTTCAGGGGCCATTGGTCACCAATTGTAGATTTTTAAGAATAATTTTTCAAAGGCCTTCAATGTCTTCCAAACCTAGATTTTTAAAAATATTTTTCAAAAATGTTCTATCACCAAATATGGGGATTTTATGAAATATTGTTCAAGTACCTTTTTCAATTTTTAGAATTGTTAATTTTGCTCATTTTTTTGTTAATATATTTTAATGTTTAATTTTAAATAAGACTTTTAAAATTAAGGATATTTTAATTAAATTTTATAAAATGTTTTTCAAGTACCTTTTTCAAGGACCAAACATAAATTTTTAAACAAACTTTTTTTCAAATAATTTAAAAAAATATTGGGGAATTTTTAGAATTGTTAATTTTGCTCATTTTTTTGTTAATATATTTTAATGTTTAATTTTAAATAAGACTTTTAAAATTAAGGATATTTTAATTAATTTAGAGTAGTCATGTGTAGAAGTTTTTTGGGACCGTCTATGGCCCTATGGGCTAGGGCTCTCTACAAATTTAAAATAAATACAAAATAACAAAATATTTGTTACCTCCACATACTCAATTTTTAACTAACTTTATTTATATGATAATAACGTCATAATCTGATAAAACCTATTTTTATTTATCATTTCAGTAATCCCCCGATATCAACTTACAATCCATATCCCTCGCCACGCGTACACACACACACAACAGCAGCAGGACAACTTGTCTTGCCGGAGGCGACAAAGAAAGTGGTAAGTAACTACTGGTAATAAAATTGATTGAATTTTCCAAAAGATAAGATGTGATAAAAAGAAGAGACCAAAGGAAAATTTCGGAAAATATGGAATGTTCACAACTAAGCCTGGCAAGAAAGTTTGCCCAGCTTCCATGCAATGGAATTTTGCAATGATAACGGCAATCTAAAAAAGAAAAGAGAATAGGAAACTGAAATTGATTCAATTTTTGAAAGATGGGCAAAGATTGCGATGCATCCGTCTGTGCCAGTATTGGGGTGATTCCGTTATGATGTTCAGAACTGTAGTTCTGGCCAAAAAGCAACCAGCCATATGGCGAACTTGGCTGTTCTATTTTTTTCACTATCCTTCATTGAATCAATGCCTCGTATGTGTGTGTTCAGCATATTTTCTTGTTGTTGGTCTGTTGGTTGGCTGACTGGCATATTTGAATAAAAGAATTCATTTGGGTATGTGCATATGTAGATATATATGTGTGTGTGTGTGAGCCACGGGTTTGTTGCATTTTGTATGCCACATTGTATTGATTGAATTTGCAGTTTTTTCCCCCACCACCACTATTTCCACACAAAAAACATCCTGCTGCCCCCCCTTCCCTCCTGGGAATGAATCTCAACTAAAAACAAAGTAAAACTTCGTCAAAGATGTACCAGAATGTTGCCACCGATTTTTTTTCCAGCTGCTGCTGGTGTGCTTCTTCTTCTCTTGGTGTGCACATGAAGGAAGCCAATGCACTTGTAACGCCATCCAATCACTCATTCACTTGTACACAAACTCGCACTCACACATGTTCCTACATCGTAGTAATACAATGAATGTTCGCCGTATTTTTTGTTGAAGCAAAATATTCACTCCATCACTGCCTGGCAAAGAAACACACACACATACACACATATGTGAATGGATGGATATATGAAAAATATGTGGAGACATGTGTATGTATGAATGTATGTGTGTGTGCATTTTTATGCATTTGCGAATAAACCATGTGGCGCTATTAGCAACTAAACTAACTAAATCGGACATAGACACAGTGGGTCAAAATACCCGGAGATTTCAATATATAAAGAAATTAGTAAAAATCCTTAAATAATTCAAAAAAAAATCCAAGGTGAAAAAATTGGATGTCCTTGGAAAATATGTCCTTAAAAACAGTCCTAAACAAATCACCTTTATTACTCCGGATCTCTTTGAGACAACTTTTTACAAAAAAAATCCATACTACAATTCTTTGAATTTTTTTTTCTTAAAAATCCATGTTTACCGATCCACGTCCACGTCTAAGAATTCTACGCTTGAAGCACGGTTTCCTTAAAAATATTCTTAAAATCGATGCTTGGAGGAAAGATGGTTCTGAAAAAATTATATATAAACAAGTAAAAAAACATTAAGTTCGGCCGGGCCAAACTTTTAATACCCTCCACCTTAGGGTAAAGGAAACATTAGAAGAAACGTGGCAAAAACCATTAAAATACCGAATATCGGGAGGTACCTTTATATGGGGGCTATACCAAAACGTGGACTTATGTTTTGCCATACGTACAGGCACCCACTATGACCTACAAATACCAATTTTCAGACAAATCCGTGAAAAAATGTGGCAATTACCATCAAAATACCGAATATCGGGAGGTACCGTTATATGGGGACTATACCAGTACGTGGACCGACATATCTCATTTTCAATACCAACCATCCTAGACACAATACAAATTGCTCTGCTAAATTTTGGCGCTCTACGTCAAATAATGTGGGCTGTATCGTGATTTCAACAGACAGACGGACATCGTTAAATCGACTTAGAATTTTATCCGGAATATAAATATATATACTTTATGGGGCCTACGACGAATATTTAAGGATGTTACAAACGGAATGACAAAGTTAATATACCCTCCGTTCCAAGGTGGAGGGTATACAAATCTAAATTTGTGTTGGACCTTCCTTGATCCTTGATAAAATACTCTTGTAAATCAAATTTTGGTGCCCGAAGGTCCTTAAAAAAATTGAAAATATTCCCTTGAAAAAAATTTTCATAAAAAATTCAAATTCAAATTCTGAACAGAGGTCCTTGAAAAAATATTCTATAAAAATTGCCGGTTGATGGTGATGATTATCCTCAAAAAAATCATAGAAATCCACGTTTAGTTGACTACAGGCTCCGTAAAAAATATTTTTAGAAATACACACTTGGAAAACAGGCGGTCCTTTAAAAATATTCTTTTAAATCCAATTTTGGTTGCTGAAAAATAGCCTCAAAAAATACACATATATTTGTCATAGGAAAATTATTCGTAAAAAAACACAACGATTGGGATGATTCTGGAGAAAATATTTAAAAAAAAATTGACTGAGGCTTAATGAAATGAAAATCTCTTTGGAATGAAAATCCTTGAAAAATGGACGTAAAAATGCCACATTTGATTGACAGAAGATATTTAAAAATATTCCTAAAATTTTATGATTGTTGGACTGAATGTCCTTAAAAAAAATATTTCGTAACTCTTATTTTGGTGGCTTAAGGTCCTTGTCAAAAACTAATAGAAAAGTTTGGTGTATTAAGCTCTTTGAAAAAAAATCCACGTTTGCTGAGAAGACGATGCCAGAAAATAACTTGAAAAAACCACATTTGGTGGTCTGAAGATTCTTAACTATATTCTTTAAAAATTCCATTTGATGTCGTGAAGGTCCTTGAAAAAATACCCGTAAAAACTTTGCTTGAGGTTCTTCAAAAAACATTCTTAAAAAACTCAGATTTGCTGTTGGAAGAAATATTCATAGAAAGTTGCACATTTGGTGGACTGAAGGATCTTTCACATATTTTTTTATTTCAATTTTGGTTCTGAAGGTCCGGAAAAATTGCTCTGTAAAATACACATTTGAAGGTATGCTGCCCTTGAAAAAATATTGGGTGGACTGAAGTTTCTTAACTATATTCTTTAAAAATTCCATTTAATGTCGTGAAGGTCCTTAAAATAATACCCGTAAAAACTTCGCTTGAGGTTCTTCAAAAAATATTCTTAAAAAAAACTCAAATCTGAGTCTTGGAAGAAATATTCATAAAAAGTCAAACTTGGTGCCCTCTTTTTTTTTTTTTGTTTTTTTGTATTTTAATAGGATAGAGGATCCGTGAGAAAATTTTTCTATAAACCCTAAGTTCGATGAGCAGATGCCCGGAAAAATCCACGTTTGATGACCTGATCTTCTTTAAAAAATCTTAAAAATTCCATTTTGTGGATTAAAAATCCTTAAAAAAATAATGGGAAATATTTACGTTTGTAAGACAGATGGTTCTTCAAAAAATATTGCTAAAAACGACACTTCTGTTGGACTGTAAGGCCTTGGAAAAATATTCTTGAAAAGCTCTCATTTGGTGGCTCCTGAAGGAATATTCTCAAAATTTCACATTTTTTGACTAAAGATCTAAAAGTCCCGGTTTGATGGACAGATAGCTCTTCAAAATTTCTCAAAAAATGTTGGACCTTAAAATAATATTCTTAACAAGTAATTTAGTATCGGTCGCTTTTACCGACAGATTTATATCCTCAGCCTTGAGTTATGATTATTCAAACTGTTGACCCTTTATGGGAAGGGTTGCGAAGCAGATGGCCAATATTGACCAATTCGTATCTGACCTAAGAGTGATCAAAATATTACAACGTGCCAGATTTGAACTATATCGACTACTTCCTCTACTTTATAGAAGATATGTGAAAATTTTTAGGAAATGTGGAAATATGCGTGAGGTAACAGATATATAAAAATATTGGAATGTGCAAAATTTGACAGAAATCGAACATTTATATCCCTTTTTATGCGAAATCATAAATCTCATATTTATTTCAGGTTTCTAGTTGAGAGAAATAGTTAGGCATAGCAAGTTGTAAAAATCACCGACTTGTTTCGCAAGTTATGACAGACAAAAGTGTTGGAAATTGTAAACCTTTGTGGGTGAGGCACCAGAAGGGCTTGGCAGATATCTGTCATCTTTATAGCAGATCTTGTGATAGCAAAAATATTTGGATGTGTGAAATTTGAAGAGCATAGGATGATTATCTCGCATTCTTTGAGCGTTGTGTCTTTCAAAAATCTTGAACCCTATGTTGGGGGAGGCACCAGAAGAAATGGTCCAATCTCTACCATATTTATAACAGATCTTGTGTTTATGGAAATATTGAGATGTGCCAAGTCTGAATGGAATCAGATGTTAATGTCGTGTTTTATGAGCTTCATGAATATTCAAAATTTTTGATCCTCTGTGGGGGAGGATGGAGTGACCAATATTGTCCATTTTTGCACCTGACATAACACTGATGTAAATATTAGGAGTCGCAAATTTGGAGCAAAATCGGATTATCCTTTCTCTTTCTGTGCAGTAAATTATTTTCTTTGGAAATGTTGACATTTTGTGGGGGAGGTACCAGAAGGAGTGGACTGATATTGCCCATCTCCGAACTCGATTTAAGTTTCACAATAATGTACCAAGTTTGGATCAAATCGAATACTCCCTTCGAGAGTTATCGTGTGCATATCGTGTGGATATCGCTAGATCGACCCTAAATGCCCTGAAACGAATTTGGGTTTCTAAACTTAGTTTTAAGGACCGCAGCATGTTACTTTTTTAAGGACTTGCAATCGTAGACTTTTAACAACCTCTTAACAACGGTTTATCAAAATATTTCTTAAAGGACCTTGAGATTTTTTAATAATAGTTTTTTAAAGGACCTACAAATTTTATTTTTTAGGATCTCCAAACATAGTTTTAAGGTCTTTAAAAAGTTACTTTTTCAAGGACTTCCCAATGTAGACTTGTAGGGACCTCTAAACAACGGTATATAAAAATATATTTTCAAGGGCCATAAATCATTGACATTTTTTTTAAAAAAAATAAATTTTGGAAGAGATCTTAACGACTTTTAGCTTGTAGTTTTTAAAAATATTTTAAGGAACTCCTGAAAGGATCTTCTTCATAAATACCTTTAAAGAACCTGTAAGAT